AAAAAAATACATATTTTTAAAAAAGTCACTGGACAGGATGATAGTCAAGATCTCCAGTAGATCACAATTCTGAAGATGCTTGTTTCTAAGGTGATGGATTTCTGCTGATACATTCACATGTTGATTCTTCTTTTTTTATGGAAAATGAAATCGATCTTGCTGAGGTCACTTGCTCTTTGGCCTTTTGTATCTCTTATCTACCAAAGTATGATCAAGTTTGGAAGTAAATGTAATTTCTGCAGAGCCCAATGAGAGGGGGTTAGACCTTGTGTGGTATCTATATCATGAAAATTATTCATTACATATTAAAGTTCAGGAAAAGCATATTAGAATTCCATCTTAGCCACACTTCTATTGCTGTGAAGAGACACCGTCACCCAGGCAACTTATGAAAAAGAGCATTTAATTGGTGGCTTGCTCGCAGTTTCAGATGGTGAGTGCAGGGTTCTCTGCAAACACCATGGCCAGCAGAGCTTGTGTCAGACAAGAAGGAAGTCCTGTTCAGCACGACTCAGTAACTGGTGTTGGTTCAAACATCGAGTCAGGCACCCAATTGTTTATTTTGGGCTTAAGACTATCACAATTTGGAAAAAAAAGTTTCATGGTGATAATTAACCAAATGCCATGGGTATAACAAAGTTTAAGGGATGGTTACACTGAAACACTCTTTGTAGAGTATATACGGCCTCTTCCTTAAAGATGGGTTCTGTAGATGAACTACAGGTTACATCTTAAGGGTCGAGCTGAGGATCTAATCTGGTCTCGGTCATACAGATAGTGTAAAGGTTACAGGCTACTAACCACCCCAACCCCAGCCTTCTGAGCATAAGAGGGGCTATACCACTCTCTCTCTCTCTCTCTCTCTCTCTCTGAAGAGACAGCCTGTGTGTTTAACATTCCTGGTTTCCCTAGTGCTTATCTTTGAGCACAAGGACCTTATGCCTCCTACAGGTGAGTCCATGATCATCATCGTAAGGAGCATGTTAGCAGGCAGGTAGGCATGACATTGAAGCAGCAGCTTAGAGTTTGCACCCTTATCCAAAACTTGGAGGAAGAAACAGAGAGAGTGGTATGGCCGGGCTTGGGTTTTTGAGACTTCAAAGCCCATCCACAATCTCACATCTCCTCCAAAATGGCCATGCCACCTAATCATTCAACAGTTTCAACAACTAGGAACAGTCATACAGATATATGAACCTATGGGGTCATTTTCATTCAAATAACAATAAACACTTATATTTATTTCATTTTATAAGTGTTTAACATATATTACAATTATAGTTTAGAATATTACTTATGTTTATTTTATTTTACATTTATCTTGAAGTATTTAACATATATTACACTTATAATTTAGTGTATATTAGCCTAGTAATTTTTATTATTTGTAAAAATAAAATTATGTAAGAATTTTTTCTAGTTTTCTTTCTGTTGCTATGACAAACGACATGACCTGAAATAATTTAAAAGTAAAAACAGTTTACTTTGCTTATAGGTGACATTTTATTATTGAAGGAAGTCAGCACAGGAATTCTAATAGGAATTTGAAGCAGAAAGCACGGAGGAGGAAGCACGCTCATTGGCTTTCTCTTCAGCATATGTTTAGATAGCCTGGGATCACCTGCCTGGGGATAGTGCCACCAACAGTGAGCTGGCCTTTTCCATATTGATTAGCAATCAAGGCAGTCCCTCATAGACAAATTCACAGGGCAATCTGATCGGGGCCATCTCTCAACTGAGAGTTTCCTTTTGGATGACGCAAGGTTATTTTATAGTAGGTCAAAGCTACAAGGTAGGGATATCCCACCTTTCTTGAAACTCTTTTGGGAATATTAGTACTTTTGCACAAAAATGTTTAATAATAAAGGATGAGTAGAGATACCTTCACTCTTAACTTTCACTGTTTGTATTTATCATGTTATCTGCAGATCTGAATCTTGATATATGAAGAATCGAAATAATGGGTGTAAAACTATTTTCAAAGTCCATTGAAGAAGTATTTTTGGATGTAGCATTAGTCAAAAAAGAAGTCAAGAGGGAAAAATAATTGTTTATTCTTATTTCATGTTTTTGTCCAGTCATAGACAAAAGTAGGAGAAAATTTATAACATTAAATTTAATTCTGGAAAGAATGTTAAGTTATAGAGATTTTAATTACCATTTGAAGACACAAATTCAATGCATGGTTATATTTAACTGAATTAGTAGTGGATTCCTGTTTTTATTTTCTTGTGGATCTTTGCCAATGACCACATGCAAATGGTTAAAAAAAGAAAGTGGGTTATAGAAGTTTTTTTTTTCTTTCTTTATTTTGGATTTTTAGTGATGTGTACAGATAGTATATAAATGTTTAGGTTTACAAATTTTTATCTTCTTAATACTTTCCAGATGACTATTTTACAATTTATTTTTCTCTTTCTCTCCTCACTTCCTTAATTTTGGCCTATAAATATGAGACTCAAGAAGGGAAACTGTTCCTGAGTAAGTGGAACAATAATAAACCATATGAGAAGTTAGATATAGGAACAAGGCTAAAAATGCCCTCTTTCAATTTGTAAGCTTCTCACAACTGATAAAGTATGCAGTCAGATAGCTGTAAGTCTGAAAATTACCTCATGAATCTTGACATTCAGCAAATTATTTATTGCATTTCTACCAACACCTATGAAATATTGTGCTAGAGATAAGACAAATGAGTCACCATTCATGCCCTTAAATGGCTTAAAAAAAAAAAACAACTTAAAACTTGAATGAGAAAAAAGGTAGTCACTGAGAAGAAATTTATAATATTCTACCTAGTCTGAAAGAGATGTGGAAGGATTCTGGGAAAGGGTGTTCAAGTTGACCCAGAATAGATGAATAGATGGTAGCAAGAGGTGAGAGAAAACAGGGTAAAGAGCCTCAGCATGACAGCAAGTAAAAAGCCATTGCTTGGGTATAACATTAGAGTTTTAGCATTGATGCAAACTGGATTTGATTGAAAAGCAAGGAGAAATGTAGAATGGAGTTAATTTCTGCAGGGCATCTTTTACCAAATAAAGTGGCTTGAGTTTGATTCTGTAGTGATAGGAAGCCAGGAAATGATCAATCATAGGGTGATCATGAACAGACTTACTTTAAAACCATTCTGCCCAATATGTAGGTAAAGAATGAATCTTCAGGAAGCAAGCATGCATATAAGAATATAATTTAGGAAATTGAAGTGGTTTGGGAAGGGTGAGTGGCACACTGAAGGGACATAAATTATTGCTTTGAGTGGCTAAAGTAAACACTGGCACATCACATGCCTACTGCTTTCCACACTATTTGCGTAAGGTGCTTAAATCAAGAGCCAGGGGTCATTATTTTGAAGAGGAATCCAATGCATGTAGTTTGTTTTCATAATTGGAAAGAAGATGGTTTGATTCCTTATCTGTGGTTTCCATATCTGTGCTTGGCACTTAGAAACTATGCCTCAGTTTTGGCTACCTTTCTGGCTGCTGTGGACGAATACCTGATAGAAATAACAATTTAGAAGAGGCAAGACTTATTTGGGGTCACCAGTTAGAGGAATGCCGTTTATCACAGCAAGAAACACAGGGAAGCTGGGGCCATCAGAGGTAGTGGGAGCTTGATGACACAGCTTCTTATATGTTAATTTAAAAAAAGAAAGGTAGATGGAACAGGTTCCAGACCATAATCTTAAAACCCACTCCTAGTGGTTTGCTCCCTCTACCTTGGTTCCACCTCCTACATGTTCCAAAGCCAGAGATCCACCTATAGCCAGAAACCAAAGGTTCAAAGGCACAAGCCTATAGAAGACATTGCATATCCAACTGAAAATGAAATACATGAGATCATGTCCTCAACATGTGATGTATATCTACGACTTCTCAAAAATATAGCAATGGCAACATTTTCTTACATGGTCTATCTGGGAATGTAAGTAAAAACCGTTTGCTATTGTGTCTATGAGATGAGTTTTTTTTCTCAACTTGCCTTTGATCAGTGCTGATGCAGTAATTATTCTCTAGACTGTGTGGCTGATAATTTTCAATATATCTAGTGTTGGTAGTTTGGTCCCTTTGGATTGTCAACATACGGTATCGCCATTAACTCACAGGTTCTAATTTTCTCAAGAAAGCTAGGAAAATCATTAGTTCAACCCTGCTTTAAAAAGCATAGCCAAAATATACACACATGGTATGTACTCAGTTATAAGTGGATATTAGACATATAGTATAAGATAATCATACTAAAATTTGTGCACCTAAGGAAGCTAATTAAGAAAGAGGACCCTGGGTAAGATGCTCAATCTTCATTCAGAAAGGCAAACGAGATGGACAAAGGCAACCGAGGAAGAAAACAGGGAATAGGACAGGAGCCTATCACAGAGCGCCTTTACCCAGCAGGATATCAAAACATATGCTGAGATTCATAGCCAAACTTTAGACAGAGAGCAGGGAATCTTATGAAGAAGGGGGAGAAAGACCTGGAGGGAACAGGAGCTCCACAAAGAGAGCAACAGAACCAAAAAATCTGGGCACAGGGGTCTTTTCTGAGACTCATACTACACACAAGGATCATGTATGGAGATAACTTAGAACCCATGCACAGAAGTATCCCATGGCAGCTCAGGGTCCAAGAGGGTTCCCCAATAATAGAACCAGGGACCATCTCTGAAATGAACTCATGGGTTGGCTCTTTGATCACCTCCACCTGAGGTGGGGGCAGCCTTACCGCTCCACAGAGGAAGACAAAGAAGCCAGTCCTGATGAGACCTGATAGACTATGGTCAGATGGAAAGGGAGCAGGACCTCCCTTATCATTAGACTGGGGGAGGGGTATAGGAGAAGAAAAGGGAAGGGATGGGAGAAAGGGCTACAGCTGGTATATAAAGTGAATGAATTATAATTAATGAAAATAAAATTAAATTAAAAATATTGAAATTTAATTTTTACCTTAATTATTCTTTTTTCTAGTTCTTCAAAGTGAATTTCTTCTCTCTTTTCCATTTTCAGGACAGAAAGTTTTACAGCTTCAACCTTCACCTGTCTTTGCATAACAGCATATTTTCATCAGAAATTTGTAAGTATCTTTTTATTTTTCTGTACTTAAGTAATTAGAAACTGATTGGGGGAATAAATAGCTCCTCTGTTTGGCCAAATACAGTTATACAATATGAATGGGCATGAAAATTTAAAAGATCTATCACTCTTCAAAAATAGCAACAACAAGTTTGGTTTGAAAGAAACCAAACCCCAATCAAAAATTCCTTACCACATGGATGTACAGCCAGTAAATATTGCATTTTTTCTTTGGCCAATTCATCTTTTCTGATGCCATCTTCACTGTGTTTTTCTCCAATGTGTATCTGTGTCTATACATTTTATGAGACTGGTATGTTGCCTAATGCTTTAATGAGGTACCTCACATCCTCATATTTTAGAAAGTTTATAACACAAGTAAGAAGAAAGAGAAAAAGTCAAAAGTTTAAGGTAAACATCCATTTTGACAGATGTATTACCACGTAAATTTAGAGGAACCTGCGATAAAAAAAAAAAACAACAACAACAAACAAAAACATGCCCTAAAAATGTTATCTGCAGTGATAGCATTTTAACCCCTTATTACTTGATAGAAAACTGTGAGTTTAATAAGGCTTGTTTTACTTAGCACAAAAGCCAGCCATGGGTGAATATATACTAAGCTCAAGAGCACAGTTCCAGGGACCATGATGTAAAGATAGATCAAGAATCAAAGCCACTAGATAGATTCCTCACTGCCTGGGAAATCTGTACAGTAGATTCTGGACTTTACAGCTGTAAATATTTGTGTTTGAGGGTTGTTGATCACTGCTTAAGATCTTTTTCATGATCCAGGTAAATTCTCAAATCACTGTTACTTAGTAGTTAATATTCATTTTATCTTGGGTAATCTGTGGTTGCTATAATGGACTTTACATTTGCAGAGTAGCTAATAAAGCCAGTTAACTGGAATGTGACATACTTTAACTTGCCTCATCAGATAAGTTCTAGCAAATTGTTCAGTTAAGAGGTATATTCAACTCTTAAATACCCTGTAGTGATGTGATCTGTTGCCTAGCTGTGTGACATTACTTTTTGCTTGTAATCCATCCACTTATTAATTTTCTAATTTTGGAAAAATTACCTGAATCCTCTGATGATGATTCATTTTGACAGTACAAGGCAGGCTACAATGTTTCCTCCACAGCTAGTAACAGGAACTAAGTGAAATGATGAAACCATACTACATAGAAATGAAATAAGTCTACATTATATCACATTTCCCCATCTTTTCTGTGTCATTTTGTAAACTTTGTGCTTTTATCCAATGATACTTCCTTAGTAGACTTATATAAACTGTTTTATGAGTTAAGTCAGGTTCTGTGGACTTGGTGTGAAAATGTTTTGGGGTGGATTTTTGGCTGCACTTCTGTTGTTTCAGCAACTGTCTTAGATCCTTGACTGGCAAGTGATCCATGGGCCAGACTTTGAGAAAGATGACTTTTCCTTTAATCATAATTCTCAAACTATTCGGTCATTTATATTAAAGAAAATGTGGTTTGGGTTTTAACAGATGGGTGTTCCTAGATATCTTCTTTCTGAAATTCTGATTTAGCAGATTGAGTAGGCTTTTAGAGTTTCAAAGCACTGTCTCTGATTTCTGTATTTTGAACTACAGTCTCCCTGTGTCCTCAGTGTTAAGCTAGGGAGCTGTGTGTGTGCCTGGCCTGTGCGGATGAGGATATATACTTATGTTTGGCAAGTCCAGATCAGGTGGAAGGAATGAAAAACTTGTGTTGAGATGTCTAATAGAAGCCATGTGTGAGAATCAACTGGCTGGGATTCAGGGTGGTTTTCAAAGATTAAGGAGCCTGTAGGTGTTGGACGTAGGTCGTCTGCATATAATTGAGTAGCTTGGTGTTCTTGTGGGATTCCTACTAGTGGGAGCAGGGCTGTCTCTGACTCTTGCCTGTTTGTAGGACCCTATTCCTCCTTCTGGGTTGCCTTGGCGAGCCTTGATGTGACTGGATGTGCCTGATCTTACTGTAGCTTGTTATGCTGTGTTTGCTTCATGTCTGAGGGGAGGCTAGGGGTGGGGAGAGTGGATCTGGGGGCAAGAGAAGGTGGAACAAGGGAGACTAGGGGAGGAGAAGGAGGGAAACTGCAGTTGGGAAGTAATACATGAGAGAATAATTTCTTTTTTAAATCTAGGTTTGAAACCCATTAAATGACAGACTTTCTTTACCACAGGAGAAGACAGAGATTAAATATCATATTTTACTCCCAACTCCCGCTCTCCCCCATCATACGAGGCCGACTCTGCCTGTGCCTCTGCCATTTTAGGAACCAGTAACACCGGTCAAAACAGTCTCTCTAGTGGTGAACTGGGCTTCTGAGCAGTCTAGCAGTAAGTAGGTAGAAAGACCTCTCTGACTCACCTGCCCATCTGCATTTGGAAAGCCAGTGTCTTCCTTACCAAACCTCACTTAGCAGCGAGAAGGCTTCCAAGGCACAGGAGAGGCAGGCTGTTAGTCCCATGCCCACCTCCACTGCTAACCACCTCCTCCTCCCCATTCCGTCGCCTTGTACCCTGTACCCCTTCTCAAAGTCGGCACCCGTGCTCCACGCTAAGAAAGAAAACTTGGAAAGAAGACAAAGTTTCAAAAGGGAGGTGAATATCTCTCAGATGAGAGGAAGCTGCCAGCTAACCTGTCCTGGGCTTCCTCAACATAAATGGTTTGTCTACATGAGTTAAGACCCCACATGCATTTGTCACACTTAGTCTTCTCAACTTGGGGTGGCTTGGTTTTGTGAACTCCAAGGAAATGGAAGCAGCTTAGACACTTTTTGGGCTTGCCCAAGGTTTTATGTAAAAAGCAGGAGCCAGAAGATCAGATGACAACCCATTGCAAAGCCTATGTGCCTCATGCTTCGTCGCTGGCTGACTCCTTTTAGCTCTGCCACATGTAATTCTGTGAAAACAGGTCAAATTGTAAATGCAAATAAGTTGAAATTTTATGAATTGTTAAGTGGGACACATGAGCAACCTTGTAAATTAGTCACATCTCTCACTTAGACGATTGCAATGTTCTCTAAACTCATATCCTACATGTGTGCAGAGGGCAGAGGCCAACCTTGGCTGTTGATCCTTGGCAACTGTCCACATTTTCTTTTGAGGCAGGGTCTCTCACTGTCTTGGAACTCAACAGCAAATACCAGGGATCACCTTCATATCTACCTCACCAGCTCTGGGATGGCAAATGTGTGCCACCATGCCTGGACTTTTTCTTTCTTTTCATATGGGTTTTAGAGATTCAACCCATGTTCTCTTGTTGAGACAGAGTGCTGAGGTCAGGCTAGCAAGGAGTTAAATGGTAAGTTATCTCTTCAGCCCTTGAAAACTTATTTCTTTATAAGTGTTTGTGTGTGAGAGCATGTGTGTGCATTGTATGTATGCATGTGTTTATGTGAGTGTGTTCATGTATATCAGAGGTTGGTGTTAGGTGTCTGATTTCTACTGCTCTCCATTTTGAAACACAGAGTCTCTTTTTTAATATTGATGTCATCTACTCAAGAAGGTGTGGCTGGCCAGTTCCAACTTCAGGAACCCCACCTCTCTCTTCCTCCAGCAGCGGGGTTACAGACTCAAACCCACCTTATGTGCAGGTTCCGAGGAACTCTCGTCTTTGTGCTGATGCAGCAGTCCTTTTACTGGCTAAGTCATCTTCCCAGGCCCTTGGCTCATTTCTGAATCCATGATTCGTCTTTCCAGTCTGTGCCATTTGTTGCAGCCATCGTGACCTTTCTGAAATGCAGTTTGACTGTCCACTGTTTCTTAAAATCCTTCCGTGACTTCCTGTTGCTATTGGTACACACCTACGCCGTAACAAATCCGAGTGGTGTGGCTCCTACCACGTTGCCCCTTCTTGAGCTGTCTGCTGCCATCTTTCCTGGACATTGGTTACATTTTTTATATGTGTGTATTTTATGTGTATGAGTGTTTTGCCCACATACATATGTGCTCGCCATGTGCATTCCTTAGTGGGTCAGAAGATAAGGGTGATTGTGAAACACCATGTAGGTGCTGGGAACCAAATTTAAGTCTTCTGTAAGAAGTTCAGCACAAATCTGAGCCATTCTTCTTACAGGCACAGAGTGTGCCATGTTGTTCTCTTCTTGTGAAGTTGCTTTTTTTTTTTTTACCTCAGCAAGTAATGTTTTTATTCTTTCATTTCAGACTATTGATGAGTCTGATGGGTTTTTTTCTTTTTTGTTATAATCATTTATTACAATTTATTCAATTTGTATCCTGGCTGTGGCCCCCTCCCTCATCTCTTCCCATTCCCACTCTCCCTCCCTCTTTTCTCCCTATGCCTTTCCCCTAATCCACTGATAAAGGAGGTCCTCCTCCCCTTCTATTTGACCCTAGCCTGTCAGGACTCATCAGGACTGGTTGCATTGTCTTCCTCTGTGGCCTGGCAAGGCTGCTTTCTCCCCAACCCTTGCCACCCAGAGGAGGTGATCAGAGAGCCAGCCACTGAGTTCATGCCAGAGAAAATCCCTACTCCCCTTACTAGGGACCCTAGTTGGAAAATGAGCTGCTGATTGTCTACATCTGAGCTGGGATTTTAGACCTTCTCCATGCATTGTCCTTGGTTGGGTATCATTCTCTCCAGGGTTCAGTTTTTATGGCTTTGTTAGTCTCTTTCTGGAGCTCTTGTACCCTCCAGGTCTTTCTATCTCCCCCTTCTTTCATGAGATTCCCCGCACTCTGTCCAAGGTTTGGCTTTGACAAACCAAGTAATCCAATTAAAAAATGGGATACAGAGCTAAACAGAAAATTCTCAATAGAGGAATATTGAATGGCAGAGAAACACTTAAGGAAATGCTCAACATCCTTAGTCATCAGGAAAGGCAAATCAAAACAATCCTGAGATTTCACCTTACACCCATCAGAATGACTAAGATCAAAAACGCAAGTGACAACACATGCTGGAGAGGATGGAGAAAGGGGAACCCTCCTCCATTGCTGGTGGGAATGTAAACTGGTACAACCACTTT